AACAAGTTAATTGCTGCGGGCCGAAATAGCCAAAACTTGAGTAATTGAAATGGAATTTCAACGTTGCCAAGAATTGCACTTAGCATGCATGTATTTGTTTTTGTGATTGCTTATACGTATACTGAAATATATTTTCATACTACACTTCACTCTCGAATCAATCACAAATGCTGCCACAAATTGTTGCACTATGGCGGTTAGCTGTGCCAACTAAACTACCATAGATTGGAAATGGTGTATTTAGATTAAGTAGCTAATGCAGGTCAGGTCAATTTGCGACGCTTAACCAATACGCCATAATCCACAAAATTCTCTCGCATTCCCTACGCTTACTTATTTTTGTTGTAACAAATATCAATCTTTTGATTTTGTTGTTTTCCGTTGCACCGCTAAGCAAGTCGCCGATTGGCGGCCGCTCAATTCGCCGCCGTCACACGTCAACATGTCAATGGATTATGCAATGCCTCCAACAATTTTACCGACAGCACTCAATACTGATTCAATTTTCCATTACGTTTCGCTTGGTTTTGTTGCCAAGTGCTTGTATTAGTTGTTTGTTGCCTGCCACCGCATAGCAGGTAGTGCGACTGATTATGTTTGGGTCGAGGCCAATTCCAATGCACCAATCGGCACTCCACTGGCCTCTGCTCGGTCTTTAGTTGTCTGCTGTGATGAACTTTTGATTTTTTAGAATTTTTGGTGTGTAGCTTTTCCTTCTTTTTGTTATAATTACCGATTTCTTGGCATATTCCTGGCTTTTACTTGATACTCGTATGCTAACTGCGGCAATGGAAGTTAGCTACTGCCGTGAGCATATTCTCATACAAATTAGATTAACATGCAAAACTACACAGAAACATATCTATATATATAACGGGTGATCGATACTTTTAATATCAATGACCTTTTTTGACAGATCACGCATGAGTCGTGGCAAGCTGTTATGTTATTTTTATTCGGTATTGTTTGGGATTTCATCATTGAAAGACTTACGCTTGAAAAACGTTTAGTAAAGAATGTGTTTCGCGTGCTTCGCTTAACTTATGGTCAACATATTCGGCCTACTGAGCATATTATTCGCAACACCATCACCCATCTTGAGACCCATCATTCATCATTGGATAATATTCGACCGAATAGACCGCGTCCAGCACGCAGTGAAGAATATATAGCGGCCGTAGCTGAAAGTGTACACGAAGACCATGGAGAGTCGATTTGACGCCGTTCGCAGCAACTCGGACTGACATATGGAACGACTTGGAGCATTTCACGTTTTTGACCGGTCGATTGGCTACCAAGATCGTGTGATATCACACTATTAGACCTTTTCCTTTCGGGATCTAAAGTTTATTCAGATAATCCCGCTTCGATTCTTCGAAAATTGGATTCAACGGATGGACCATATGAGACGTAGCCGCGGCAATATTTGAAAGAGATAATCCTCAAAAAATTAATGCCAAAAAACGTGCTTTCGAATGAGAATAAACATTCTCCATTCAATTTTAACTTTTTGTGTTGATTTTAATTCGCTTTTTTTCCTACCATATTCATAAATGTTTGGCGCATGCGCATAGAATTTGTTTGATGGATATCAAAGGGCGGGTTCTTGGCATTGTAATTAATGTTTTTAATTTTTGCTTGGAAGTGCAAATCCATTAGTTGCAGCCAAGAACAAAAAGCAATTCGTACGATATTTTAGAAAAAAAAAATAATATTTGAAAAGAAGCATGAATGAAATGAATTGGTGGTAAATTTGTTACGACTTACTAAATTTATGAATTTTATTTCTGAATTTGAAAGAGAGCGAGAGAACTGGAATTAAAATTATTTGCCAACTCTGTTTAACTTTTAGAGGAATGTTTTTAATTTCCAGCTATGTTTGAACAGTTTTCTGAATAAGTTGACAACATAGTAAACTCCGGCTGCCGACATATCCAAACTAATCTTTAATTCTTTGTTTTGCTTGTCCCGATACTAAGAGTAAATAAAGTCAATTCCCAACGACTGTTGGAGTTTGAGAAGGTCCAGGAAGCTCCTTTATGACAAAAAATCACTCAGAAAACCGCTATAAAAAAATGTTCGTTTATATAATTTGAGATTTTACTTCGTTTGAAATTTGAACTTTTGACCCACCGGTTGGTAGTTACGTACTTACTGAATTCCATTACGACGGTCACTTCTGCCCTATATATTCATATGAATTATTTACTTACATTTACTATAATCTATATAAATAATTGTGGAAGCTGCTAAAGGTGAAGCTTAATGCAGAGGCATTTGTACGCTCGATCGATTCGCCAATCGGGCGGTTAGTGACATTTTTGCTTTCCGTCACGCTACCGCAGCACATACATACATGCATACATATGTGAGCACTTGGAAATTGCAAAACTCCTGCGCGTGTATACCTCACGGTGTCTGTGGCAAGCAATACAATAGAAATTATCAAAAGTAACAAAATACTTTTCGAACTTTTGCAACTCGTTTGGTAATCATAACAAGCATACAAATGCGAACACTGCTCGTACTAACCGGCGAAGCCATTGCGAATACGAGTATGCCACAACTAAGGTGTAACGTCATTTGCGCGGCATATAACGATATTGAATATTTGCTTTTATTGTTGTTGTTTTTTCTGGTTACTTTCTTGCTATTGTGTTACGGGTGGTGCTAAGGTGATCGAAATAAAAGTGATTTCGAGGAGTGGGAAGGAAAATCCTCATTTGTCAATTAATATGAGCGCGTGGCATCTCAAATGCTCTTTCAGCTTTCTGCTCTCAAAGTACTACAAAGAGTGTGACTAAGCACTAATACAGTATGTTTATATGTATATACATATATATGGCATATGCAGCCGCTGATGTTGTTGCAACGTTGGCAATCCGATACGGTAGCACAGTCCAATGGGAGATTAATGCTTACTGTCTAAGCTGTCGGATTTATAAAAACGAGAAAAAACGTTAACTACGGTTGCACCGAAGCTATAATACCCTTCACAAATACAAAGGCTTTTTACAAGAACTTGATTCCGATTGTTCAATTAGTATGGCAGCTATATGCTATGGTCACCCGATTTACCCAAATTCTTTGGAGATTGGATTATAGTCTTAAAGATTATTCCATGCCAAATTTCGTGAAGATGCCTCGTCAAATGAAAGAGTTTTTCATACATGCACTTGATTCTGATTGTTCAGTTTGTTTGGCAGTTATGCTAGAGTCGTCCATATCGGCCGTTCCGACAAATGAGCTGCTTCTTAGTGAGAAAAGCACATTTGAAAAATTTCAGATCGATAGCTTAAAAACTGAGGGACTACTTTGTATATATACAGACAGACGGACAGACGAACAGACAGACAGACGGATATGGCTAAATCAACTCAGCTTATCATGCTGATCATTTATGTATATATTTTCTAGGGTCTCCGACGTTTTCTTCTGGCTGTTACAAACTTCGTGGCAAACTTAATATACCCTGTTCAGGGAATAAAAAGCTTTTTACCCACTAAAATGATTAGTTTATTAAATGAAATTGTTTACACATTGAGTTTCCATGCGACGTCAATGACGTGGTCTCTCAAAGGAAGTGATGCCGCTGAGCTGACAGAGAGCTGAGTGAATAAAATAATTAAAGGAAATTATTATTAAGTTGAGAAGCGAGTTTTAATTTTATTTATTTTTTATCAATTTCGAAGTATCTTCATTCAAATCAATATTAAATCTAAATTTTAAGGGCGTAGTTTGAGCCTTTAGAAACTAAAAATATAAATTTCTTTAGAAAAAAAGTTTTATTTTTACATCCCAGTTCTGATATCCGAAAATTTGCAAATGAAGCAAACCTTTCGTGTAATACATGGTGCGCCATAGGTTTTGTGGTTACGTAAACATTGAATAATATTGACATATTTTTTATCCGATTGAGTTGGTTAGAAGTCAAATTAGATTGAAAAAACCGCCATGTTTTTCTGTATTGAAAACAAGAAAAAACGTTAACTTCGATTGCACAAGCTATAATACCCTTCACAAATACAAAAGATTCCTTACAAAAACTTGATTTCAATCAGTCAGTTTGTATGGCAGCTATATGCTATAGTCACTCGATCTAAACAATTTCTTCAGAGACCTTGCCTTGTATAATAACTCATGGAAAATTTCTTGAAGATAACACCTCAAATGAACGAGTTTACCATACAAACATACATATGATAGCTATATACTTAGTGGTCCGATATCCAATAGCGGTTCCGACAAATAAACAGCTTCTTAGAAAAAAAGGACGTTTGCAAAACTTAAGATCGATACCACAAAAATTGAGGGACTAGTTCGCGTATATACAGACAGACGGACAAGGCTTAATCGATTCAGCTCGTCCAGCTATTCATTTATATGTTTGTATTTTATAGGGGCTCCGACGTTCTCTTCTCTCCTCTTATAGGTGTAACAAACTTCATGGCAAACTTAATTTACCCTGTTCAGGGTATTAAAATAGTAGGAGGATAGTGGAGATCGAGATAGTGAGAGATATACCCAAGATGTTAAAATAAATTAATTGAAGTCGTCAACGAGAGTGTTGCCCAGAATTCACAGAAGCCGCGTCTTCTAACCGTTAAGCATTTTGATTTGACCTTGTTTCCATTAAGAGTGTAATTAACATAAAGCATATATCCGACTGACCATCCACAAATCCATTTTTCGAACAAATATCATGAGATTGTTAGAGTTTATATGTATATATCTTGACCTTCTGGACAATCTATTGATTTCTTAACCCAACAAATCCTAATATTCCTAATTTTCATATTACTCCACAGGCAATCATTCAATATCTATGATTACGGCTTGTAAGTTAAGGACAGGGTTCAGTAGACTGAAAAAAGATATGTAGTATTTAATTGTTCAGAGGATTTGATGAGGCTTATATTAGGTTTCACTTATAGTTCGCTTATAAGTATTATAATCTAATGATTAATTACTTAATTTTTCTTCAATCTTTTTATTTACAGTACGGCCTACGCCAGCTGGATCTCTCGCTGCTCTCCCAATTGTGGGCGCTCAACGACTCGATACAGGAATTTCGTACGATGTTGGAGTCACAAGAACTCGAACCAGAATCTTACTTACCACACTCACCGACACCCTCTTCCTACGATTCGGTCTCGAGTGATGCTGAAGACGATGGCAACACAAGTAACATTAAAAAACATAAATCAGCCGACCTGAATAAGCCAAAAATAATCACAACCCAACCAAAATTAACGCAACGATCCAATTCAACGACGGAGCGGACCAGCAATGGCAATGCGACAGCACCGCAGAGGCCAACACCACCGAAACCGCTCGATATGCGACCAGTACAACGTATGCGCAGCGCACCACCACCACCGCCTGCCAATCGGAAATCGGCGGCACCGCCGCGCCCCACATGATGCTATCTAACGGATTTCCTCGCCAGCATGAAGATGGTCATGTGCAAAGCGATTGTGAGCAACAACGGCAGCGGCTGCAGCGACGCGATAATGGCGGCGAAGCGCTGAATGAAAAAGCGAAAGAGTGGAGGAAAGGAATTAAAACGTGCAAGCGCTGTTGCTGTTGTAGGCGAGGAATTTCGACTAAAGTTTAAGCAAATCTAAGCTTAGCAATTAGAAAACCCGGTATTTCTAATTATCTGCTGTGCATAAAAAACAACAAAAAAAACTTCAAAAAGTAGCCTTAAAATTAAATTTGCTTAATTTTTTTTGATTTAAGCTCGAAGTGATTGTGGAATCCAGCAATAAGACAGAAGATATATAAGAAAACAAAAAACGTTCGGAATTAGTATAGTTAGGGATATACATATATATGAGTAATTGTAAATTGGTGCATTGGGGGTCGGAAGGCTTGCAGCGCACCGGCTGTCCATCAATTAGGCTTACTTCTGTATGTGCATATATTCATACATACAATCCACATACGTATGTATGTACTCATACATATTATGTAATAATAGCTGTCTTCGATTGGTTATTTCTCTGTTCGTTTGTGCTCTCTTGTTAAAAAATTTACATGTGAAAGCAACTTTGTTGTTGCGAAACCGAGTTGATTTGGAGCAATACTCTCTTGCGGATACCTCATTAAAATGGTATAACCAGAGAATGTAGATTATTATTCTACATTCTCTGGTATAACTTCTATCTTCAATGCTGCCAAGTTTTGTTTAGCATATTTTAGCTCACTTTAACTATTGTGAATGGTTCATATTACCAATAAAATTACAAGTAGCGGTTGGCGAATGGAAGACAGCTGATAAAAGACGAAGAAAAAATGTTTGGACATTCACACAAATTCATACTTAACATTATTGTTAATTCGGCTGTACTTTCGCTTTCGCATTTCTGAAAATCTCATAAAATATACACTTTTGAAATAATTATTTAAATATCTACTTATGTATATATATATTTTTCGATAGCTCCAACTGGGTATTTCAAAATATAAATAACGTAAAATAATATATAAACCCAGTTACATGCATACATAAGAAGTATGTATGCACATGTGTACATACTTATGTATATAGGCGTGTATACATTTAAATGATGCTTAAGTTCTGTGTACTAATGCTAACTGCTAATAATGATTACTTTAATTGAATGCTATTGTATATATAAAAATTTTAAATACATAAATAAAGAAAGCTAGAAATTTAAATAAGTGTATTTTGCTTATTTTTGTGATCAAAGGCTAACCAGTAAAAAAAAAGGTAATTATGTACTTAATGACCCCCACTTCGGAGGGGGTTGGGGTTGCAGATGGTATGTGAAGGGAGTCTGTAAAATACAATTTCAGTGGATTTAGCCGTCGGCCACCCTTCAAAAAAATTATATGAAGGGTTAAAATTTCGTGAAAACAGCATATTCCCAAATTCAACCCCGGTCGGTCAAAAACCGGGGTGTTCATAATTCAATCGCGTCAAACTCCTTTTTGCACTGTCGGCTTTCGGCCGCGCTTCAAAAAAATAACCCTGGTCGGTCCAAAACCGGGGTGTTCATAATTCAATCGCGTCAAAATCCTTTTCGCTGCTGTTTGTGCAGAAAGGAGTTTGACGCAATTGAATTATGAACACCCCGGTTTTGGACCGACCAGGGTTAGTTTTTTGAAGCGCGGCCGAGGGCGCCAGTGCGGAAAGGAGTTTTTCCACCCTCCATAACTTTTTTTTAAGGGGTGACCGACGGGTAATTCCTTCGAATTCATAAAAAGGACACTTAATTGTGGCACCCCTTACAACCCCAACTCCCTACGAAGTGGGGGTCATTAAGTACATATTTACCAAAAAAAATTACCGAAACCTCTTTAAAATAAGTTATATGGAGAACAAAGGAGGTAAAAAACAAGAAAAAAACGGTAACTTCGACTGCACCGAGACTATAATATCCTTCAAACATGTGTAATTGCATAAAGGGATATAAAAATATCTTTATTATGATTTTGATCGGTCAGTTTGTAGGGAAACTATATGTTTTAGTTGTCCAATTTGACCCATTCCCTTGGAGATTGGAGCGGTGCTTTGGATAATAATCTATGCCAAATTTTATGAAGATACCTTGATAAAAAAAAGAGTTTTCCAAACAAGGACTTGGGTTTGATCGTTCAGTTGCATGGCAGATGAAATGATATAATTTTCAGATATCGTCAATTTCGTCAAATGAGCAGCTTGTTGATAAGAAAATGGCGTATGCAAAATTTCAGTGCGATTTCTCTTTGTGTGAGCAATCGACTTATTTTTTATTTTATTTGGCAGACTATGATTTAAGTTTTCCCTCTAGATTTGCCTATTCTCCTGGAATTTTGCCAAAAAATTATTGAAATGACCAAAGAAGACAATAACTTGATAAATTGATTGTTTATGTTTGATGAGGCCCATTTTGATCTAAACGGAAATGTAAACAAGGACTGTTGGCGTATATTGAGTGAATCAAATTCAGAAATTCTCCACATGACGGGAATTTACCCAGTACAGCGTCACTGTGTGGTGCGCAGTTTCATCAAGGTGTATTGTCGGACCTAACTTCAGTCAATGGGCACCGTTATTTAAAGATATTGAATCGGTTTTCTTACACAGAACTGCGCCGAAGACGTATCCTTTTCAATAGTTTAGTTTCAGAAAGATGGAGGAACTGCCAGACCGGCCCCCAAGATCACTTGACCTGACTGCAACAACCTTTTTTTTATTGGATTATGTCAAGCAAGAGGTGTACAATACAAAACCCAGAAATCTGACTGAATTGAGCCACTCCATTAAATCGATAATTGAGGCAATCCCGATTTCAACACTTCAGGCCACAACAAATAATTTTCTAATTAGGTGTCGCATAGGCGTGGCTGAGCATGGAGGTCATTTACGGTCCATATATATTTTAAATACTTAATTATATACAATTATGTAAAATTTGCTATGCAAATGTAATGCATTGATTTAAAAAAAAGTTATTACGATTTGTTTTTGTAGCACGATTTTTGGCGCCACCCTGTATCTTTTATAGGGTATCCGACGTTTTCTTTTGGGTGTTACAAACATCGTGGCAAACTTAGTATACCCGAGGGTCGAATCTCTTAAGATGGCAGGTGGTCACACTTAGACAGCTAAATATACTCGTTGTTCTTTCAGAAGCCAGATAAGAATTGCTGTATTTAGATATTAGATTTCGACAGGCGTGACATTCGAGGAAGAGGTTGAAATGATTCTATCTCATCTTATTTCAAGCAACTAATGCAACTGGCGTTCGGTAAAATCCCGATCGGACAGTGTCCAGGTAGTACTCCAACAACCATTGATTGCAAAAAATGCATAAAAAAATATTTGAATTAATATTTGATTAACATTTTTTTTTATTTTATAATCCCAAAAATTTTAATCCTACATACCGGGTAAAGAAAAATTTAATCCCATATACTTAAAATATAATAAATAAATATTTAATCCCAAAAACCAACTCCCAAGTTGAAAATTAAAAAGAAAAATTTTAATCTCCAGCATTTGTTTTAGAATTAAATTTTTTTGCGTTCATTCAAATCAAAAAATTATATTTTCAATTTTCAACTTTTAATCTCAAACATCTTGGATTAAAAAATTAAATTTTAATTTTTAATCGAAACATCGGGATTAAAAAATTAAAATCTAGTTTTAATCCCAACATCGGAATTAGCAAATAAAACTTTAAATAACAATATTGACATATATAATCCAAAATGTTTGAATTAAAAAATTCGCAACCCTGGCTACTGCCAATATTTTAATTTAGTTGCATTAATTAATATGATTGTCCTGGCTGTCCAAAATCAAAGTTAAAATTTTAATATAATGATCGACTTTTATTTGTCAATAAAAATGTTGATATAACGAATGAAAGAAAGCACGGTTTACTTGCGGTACTTAGTTAAATTAGATTAATATTGTTATACAATAAATAGCATGTCAGATCGAATGAAAAGCCTAAGCAGGGTATATAAGGTTTGTCACGAAGTTTATAACACCCACAAAGTAATGTCGGAAACTCTATAAAATATAATATATATACAAAAGATCACATACGTCCTTTTCTTCCCAAAAAGCTGCTCATTTGTCGGAGCCGCCAACATCGGACCAATGTAGGATACCGCTGCCATACAAACTGATCGATAAATGTCAAGTTCTTATATGGAAAACTTTTTAGTTTGACAAGATATCTTCACGAAATTTGGTAAGCATTATTGTGCAAAGCAACCCTGCAATCCACGAGCAAATTGCTCATATTGGACTAATATAGCATATAGCTGCCATTCAAACTGTCCGATCATAATCAAGACAAAGATCTTCATAAAATATATTTCGACAAACGTGGAAAAACGTTTTCCGCTGGCTGCATTCGGTTGGCCGATTATAGTATTTTCATAATTAGTTGTACATATAGTTGCTATAAAAAATGCACCGGTGACCGTTTTTTGATATTTTAATTAATAATAGTATCGAGACACTTCAAAGTTTATCTTATTACGGATATTTTTACGGAAGGTTTGTATTAGTAGAATATCGGTAGCTGTTTATTTAAATTTTAGATTATTATCTGTACAGTAGCAGTAAAATTAAATTACTTTTCAATTAATAATACTGATGATCTCTGCGCCTGAAAGTGGACAACAGTGTTTCATATTAAGTATTATTCATAGTACTGAGAAAATATAAAGCAACATATAAGATCGTTCTGCAATTGCATACTCGTATATCCAACATACTTAGCTTCGAGGGAATTTAGTGCATGGAATTAAAACGTATATAAAACGGTGCGAAACAGTTAAAATATATCTATATTTCAGTATTGCTCTGATAAATTTATTAAACAATTATAAAAGGAAACAATGTATCTCAATAATCAAAACGATTGACTCTACAATATACAAGGTGCGTTCCAAAGTAAACAGGACTTTTACAAAAAAGACAGAACAAATGTTTTTATCGGCAAAATCAATTAATTGTATTCACGGTCCAAACGCATGTCGAACCAGTGTTTTAGCTCGTTGCCCGGTATGGTCGCCAGTATGCCGGTGCAAGCCTTTTGAATGGCCTCCACGTCTGCATAACGCTTTCCTTTCATCGGCAAATGCATTTTTCCGATAAGGTAGAAGTCGCACGGTGCCATATCAGGTGAATACGGGGAGTGGTTGATTGTAAAAATGTGGTTTTTGGTCAAGTAATCGGCAACAAGCTTCGATCGATGAGACGGCGCATTATCGTGCAACAAACGCCAACTTTCATCTTCGCGATATTCGGGCCGAACACGTCGAATACGGCGCACCAAACGCTTCAAAACTCCAAGGTAGAATATCGCATTAACGTTTTGGCCGGGTGGAACAAATTCTTTGTGGACAATACCCTTGGAATCATAAAAACAAATCAGCATTGTCTTCACTTTTGACTTCTCCAGGCGCGATTTTTTGGGTTTCGGCTCATTTCTCATTTTTGTCCTTACGACCACTTTAAAAACGTTGAAACCACTCTGCACGGGATTGGCAATCATCGCCATAAACTTGTTTCATCAATTGAAACGTTTCGGTAAAAGTTTTACCAATTTTAAAACAAAATTTAATGTTGGCTCTTTGTTCGAAGCTCATTTTCGCACCGATGACAACAACATACTGACACTTAAACGCAATAACTTCACTTCCAATAGATGAAATGTCATGAAATTTTTACTGAAAGTCGATAAAGGATAGCAGGTTCTAACGCACTATTCGACATATATATGGCGCCACTAGAGTTTACTTTGTAACTTTTTTACTGTTTACTTTGGAACGCACCTTGTATTACAACAAATGGTTCAGTTTAGTGGAAAAATACATACTCTTCATTATAATCTGGGAAAAAGACACTGGGGGCTACTGTTTTTACCATAGATTTCGTAGACTTGTTACATGATGAATCGATAGATTGGTATCTCGCGTGACACCCACTTTACACACAGCTTAGCACAAATAACTGGGTAGTATTTATCAACGATATGTCCAACATTTTCCTATAGTGTTTTTAGAGTCTCAACTATCTCGATCGACTTTATCTTTCGGTTATCCAAAATTATTTTTTTGATGTGTTTGATATTTTTTCTCGTAAGAATTTTATGCGTTCATTGTCTTTGGCGGTCAGTGTTCGTTTTATTGACAAATGACATGTTTCTTAT